AGTCACAGGCCTGCTTAATAGCTGTGAACGTCATTCTTGGAGAAGGAAAACGCTCAGATGAGATTCTGCTTAAGGTCGTAATACAACATTTATTTTCCATTTTTGAAATTGCTGATGGTTTTCCCACAAAGTCAAGATAAAGAGAGACGATGCTTTAGGATGATCAAAACATTAAAATTGTTGCCCCGATTGCTAACTTGTCACCAGGAGTTACAGGAAACAGGTAAGGCACAGTGAATAATCATTTTAGCATCATAGCCACGCACAACTGATTCGTGCTTACTCGGTTATAAATCTTGTTTACATTATTTTTTTAAAGACACTACATATACACCTGTTCTTGCACAGTAATATTTTCTCATAATATTATGAAAATTACTAAGTTGACATCTTGTCATCGTGACAAAATTAATTATAGTTGTATAAATAGACTTGGCATGGGGGGAAAAACATATCATTAACGCAACAAGAACTGTCTGTTATTGTACTCAAGGCAAAATAATGACTTCTAATTAGTGAATTAGAAGTCATTCTATATAAAATATTATATAAATAAATATGTTTTCTGGAAGACAAAACAATTAAGTATTTTAGTGAAATGATCAAATTTCTTTAAATGCAAATTTATTAAACCGATGTTTATTTTATTCTCAGAATGCTGAGACTGAGAAAATGTGATAAGAAAATATAATTTTCTACTGTAAGATGGAAGAGAGACCACCTGATTTTTCTGTTCCCTATAAATCTACACTTTAAAAACTGCTGGTCTTTGCCTAGTTTGATCTAAGACAGATTTAACTGTAACCCTGGAGCTTTTTGTTGTAGCATTTTGGGTTACATTTTTAACCCACAAATGTGTTAAAGTAATAAATATCAACATTATAGCTATGAAAGAGTGGAATAAAATGACCAACATATTGCATTAAACAGCAAATATATCATATTTGGGTTCAAATTAATTTTTTTTTTATGTATTGCTTAATTTAGTACAAATACACATAGATAAAAAAATTAAAACAAACCAATAAGTGAATTTTGATAGTAAAATTCATACTCAGTATACAACACTGTAAAATATTGTGTGCTTTAAGGACAATTTTATTGTCAAAGTGTGAATTTTGAGGTTAGCTAACATTAGCTAAGAAAACATAAAACTAATTTATGATTTTAGAGATGAGGTTCAGTTGGAGACTAAAACTAGTTAACATCTCGCCTGCAGCAGATAATTCTCCTCCTCATTTAGCCTAAATCCAGATCAGTTGTCGCAGAGGCTCAAGATAGCAGATAGTCCAGGAAAGGCTAGAACCAAAGCAGACGTCTACTATCTTAAAACATTGATAATGTCATAACTGTCATAACAATTTGTGCAAACATCATCTTATTACTACTTCGCTAATAATTGAGACAGTTATTCTGACGAGAAAAACTTTATGTTCTGTTTCACACAGGAATATCTTTGTTGACACACAGCCTCCAATCCCTCCTGTATAAATAATCATGGATTTATATGTTAAACGACAACAAAAAAGGTAAACAACTTTGGATTAACAATGGATTAAAGGTTGGGAACAGTGATCACTTAACTAAAAATGATGAGAGGTTGTTTTGCAATGATAGAAGTTCAAATTAGTCTTGGATAAGCCATTATTTCTACTAGTTGTACTTAAATAAATATGCTGAGAGCATATTTAGGAGAACCTCATTTAAAAAGAAAGCAAATTGTCCTTTTAATATTTTTGATATCTGCATCTTCAGATTCAGATAACTTTAAATCCCATTTGACAATTTTTTTCAACTGTGTCTTGTAAAATAGTTTCCATGCTTATGCAAGTAAACTGACTCCATTTTATTTTATTACAATTAATACTCAGTTTTATTTTGCTTGGGAGTTTTAAATTGCTGAAGATTTTTCAGTAGATTTATTTCCCCCTAAGTCCAGATAAAACACTAAATAGCAACTCACGACCAGAAGTTGCAGGAAACATCTGAGGCACAGTCAGCATCAATTTCACCTTTGTATTCACTTTGTGGTTCATTTTCGGTCAATTATAGTCCTTGTTCCATAGTCCTAAAAAGCTACATTGCTTATACACCTGCTGGTCCTAATGTCATGAAAATTGCATTGTTGACATATGGGTTTTTCTTAGCTGTTATTATAACACAAGTATATATTATGGTTGTAGAAATAGACTGATTAGATGAAGAAATTTTTATTTCAAAATAATGTTTTTGGATTGAAGACCAAAGGAGAACAAACTGCCTCCAAAAACACTGCTCCCAGAAGAATTCATTTGCAAAATGTTAGAGAAGTACTCAACCTACCATTAGTTAAATAGTTCTCTAAAAGGGAATATGTAAAAACTTTTGGGACATCTTATCATGATCCATGTGGCGTTAGGAATGAGCTGACATACATCTCTCTCTGTTTTTTAACTAATTTATGCAGCACAGTGTATGTGCTGTAAAAATGAAGCATCTGTACATGAATTTAGATTGTAAATGGAGAAACAATATGGGATTAAATTCATTCTACATATCTTCTGGGAAATCTGTAAAACCTACTTAAATCGGGAAATTCGGGAAAATCTGCAACAGATGTAGAGCTAATTTCTTTTAATGATGAAATGTTTGCGCTTATCTCTGACTCACTCAAAAATGTAAAAACAAACAAAAAAAAAAATCTACTGCTTGACCAAAGGTTGAAGAACAGGTTCAGGCAGAGGTGGCAAAACAAATTCTTACAAAATTCACTTGGCCCGAGGCTGTGGCTGAACTGGAGAACTACATAAGCTGCAGTGCCTTCAGAAGTATTTATGTTCCTTTAACTTTTTATATTTTGTCATTTTTACAGCCAAAGATTTCAGTGATAAGCCGACACAATGTAGTGCCTTGTTATGAAGTTGAAGGACGAAAATGTGTGGTTTTCAAACTTTCTTCCTGGTAGAATAGCTCAAGCTCTGTGAACCACAACTTTCAAATCTCTCCATGAATTTAGGCCTGGACTTTGACTAGGTCATTAAAAACCTTACTACACTTTGATATAAGCCATTCTAATGCAGCTCTGGCTATATGTTATGCTACTGAAATGTAAACCTCTGGTTATGCCATCAACTATAACCAGATCCCTGTGGAAGAATAGCATCTCCACAGCATGATTCTGCCACCTCCATGTTTCACCATAAGGATATGGTGCTCAGGGTGACACTCGGTTCAAGTTATACACTACATAAAGTGCTTTGCATGTACAGCAAAAAATTATTTTGGTCTCATCCGACCATAGCACCTTCTTCCACATGGCCGCCTCGTCCCCTACATGGCTTTCTTCTTGGCACGCTCCCGTTTGGAAAAACAAGTGTAATTTTTCCTCTGCTTCATATTTATGTGCTGCTTCGTGCTTCTGTATTATACAAAATCCCAATAAAGTACACTGAAATTTCTAATTCCAACATGAAAAGTCCTGAAAATGTCAAGGGGCATGAATACTTTTAAATAAGGCGCAGGCTGTGAATTATGCAACAACAGCATAAGGAATACATGTAGAAAACAAATGTCAAACAATCACTTTAAATGTAAGCTTAATTGCTAAAAATACTTTAAAAAAACTGCTTAACCCTTTATATGCCAACTGCTCTTCCTCATTAAATATGCCAAATATTACACGTAAATATTGCCGAAGAATGTTTTCCCTTTAACTTGCCAATTAAAAAGAAGAAATCTCAATATGGGAATTTGCTTTAGAAGAAATACCATAAAACCCTATACATATACAATGTCAAAGACCTTTTTATTTATTTTTTTTTATCCCCCCCAAATCTGAAAAGTGCACCATTTTCAGCTCTCCTTATTAGAGCGGATTGCTTATCATCTGCTTCAGAGAGGGCCTGTATAGCATAGCTGACAGCAGTAAAGGAGAGCTGCACACATGAACTCTTCACTAACGCTTTTCCTACGCTAACCAGCTGTCCCCCTGTGGTTTCAGCCTCAGCTAAAAGCTTTGAAATGTCCTTCAAGGCATGGAGGAAAAAGGGAAAAAAAAAATAAAACAACAACATGCACACCGCTTTGGGTAAAATCCTATTTGTACACTGTAATTACACTTTGAAAAGTTGCAAAGTTTAAAGTTTCGAGACCTTCACTTTTTCTCTTCTCATTTCGGATATTGATCCGGCTCTAAAATGCATGTGAGGCGGGGTTGCTGTACAGAACAAAGAGGGCTCTCATTACATGTTGCGCCTCAGACAACTTTGAATGCTTCAGATTTGATTTGCTTGCGCTATCAGGGGACACATAAAGGAGAATGCAGTCAATAATTTCCACAACTGTGGAACCACTGCTAATCTTCTCTTAACAACAAGGCCAGAGGCACTTTGGATGGGGTTATTAGGAAGATAGATGGAGGTTTGGAAAGATGGGCGTCTCTGATGTATTTCTTGCAGAAAATAAAAAAACATCTGTACAAACCGTGACAGACAAGCCCAGAGAAGTTAGCCTCGCAACCGCGCTACTGTCTTTTATTCAAAGGTAACATTCTCACTTCAAAATACAATTTCTGAAAGACATCTTTTATGCTGTAACTGAGTGATTATGTTCAAAATAGAGGCAGAGGCATAAATGCTTAAATATATATATTTTTTTAAAAAGAAGCAAAAGTAGTGTTTACATCTGTTGTTTCTCATGACCGAAAGGGGACAAATTAGTCTGGACAAAAATTTGTTGCGTTGGCTGCGTGATAAGTGTAATTGCCCAGCAACACTGTATTTACAGAAACACAAAGTAATTTTGTTGTTGCTTTTGATTGCAGCGCTTGTGCAAGTAAAAATAATTCCAAGGGAAACTGTTTTTGTGCCATTAAGATAGGGCCCCGTTATCATGTGAAACCAAATGTTTCTTCATACCTAAATGACCTGCTTATCTGTCCGGCATGAAATATCCCAATACAGAATATAAATTTCATTTCCTCTCTGCCGGTGTCAAATACTGTGTCCATTATATAAACTGACCTCTACTTTTGCTGCCCGCTTGCGGTCCTGGAGAGGATATGGCAAGGAAGCCATACAGCCTGAGACCACTTCCACAGAGCAGTAATCAATAAGGATTTCCAGCTCCACTTGCACCAGGTGCTCTGTCAAGCCACATTGGAAGAAATGCAAAAAACACTAAAGAGAGTGGAATTAGGTACAGATGTGTCATTGTTAGCCATGCAAAGGATGTCTGGATTAAATTTGTAAGAGGATACATTAAATGCGCACAGCTAGTCTCCTGAACATAATTGCGGTAATGAGCAGTTCGTGTATGGAGTTTTAATTTGCATAAAAGACATTTAAAAAAAAGCTAATAAACAGGATGTAGATGTTCATTTTAAGTGGGAGGAATTTTCAATGTAATGTAACTGTGGAAACGAGACTTGCGCAAAGCGCCTCGCAAAATATTCACACCCGTTTCATTTTTCAGTTTCCGTCACGTTACAAGGACAGACTTTACTGCATCTCAAGGAGTAAATTAAATCCACTGGAACCAATTGCCTTAAGAAGTCCGCTCATTTTGAAGTAAAGTCAGCTTGAGTGCATTTTATTATCAGTATAATACCAGCTGGTTTTGCCTCAAAGGTTTTTTTTTTTTAGAGAACATAAGTGAAAAAAAACAACAACATCGTGAATACTAAAGACGACCACAGATAGGTTAGGAATAAGGTTGCAAGGATCTTCAAAGCGAGGTTGCATCATTAAACAACGCCCTAAGCTTTGAACATCTCACAGAAATCTGTTAAATTCATCATCTGAAGACATGGCTGTCCACCAAATGCTACAGGAGAACATTAATCAGAGAGGTAGCCAAGAAGCCCTTGGCACCTCTGGAGGAGTTGCAGAGATCAACAGCTCAGATGGGAGAAACTGTTCACCTACTGGTTGTTAATTGCAGACTGTGTATATCTAGTATTTATGGGAGAGTTATTAGAATACAGACATTGCTGAAAAAAAAAAGACATAAGATATCCTGTTAAATATTTTCCAGAAAAGGGAATAAATAAATACAGGTCAGTTCTGCAAGAAATCTTTCTGCAAAAGACTTGAGACTGGGACAAAGGGTTGCCTGCCAGTTAGACAAAAGACCCACAAGGGTGTAGTTTAGATTAAAAGACTATTCATGTGGTTGGATGACACAGAGATCCAGACCACATCCAACTGTGGCAAGACCTGAAAACTGCTCTTCATAGATGCTCTCTTCACACAGTCTGGCTAAGCACGAGCTATTTTGCGAAGAACCTATTTTGTGCATTGATTTTAGTCTCTAGATGATAATGCCAGTAGAGGCATATTCCAAAGGATTCACATGTGTAATTGCAATAAAACGTTGCTCTAACACGTGGGAACTGAATACACACACTACCTTTCCCAGATACAAACGTAACAATGAAAATGTAACTGCCAACATTCTTCGACTTACTAATCGGTGCAATGGGTGAGAATGATTATCATCCGGAAAGCTTGTTATTTAATGAGGTTATATTTGTTTTATAAATAAATTTGAGAATTACTCATAATGTGCAGTTTTGTTTTATGTAACGTTACTAAAATTGTCTACTTTGTTTTCCATCATCAAAATCTGAAATAAATATAAATTAATATAATTAAATATAGCTGCCACTGTCTCGGGTCAGCAGGCATCCACAACGTCAAATTTAACACACGGCTAAAAACAATCACTAGATTTCCAGATTTAAAGATTTTAAATAAGCTGCGCACAACACAGTGGCTGAAATGTACCTTTAAGTATTTGCCCTACGATGTGTAAAGTGGAACTTCGAATCCAGAAGGTCAAAGAAACGAAGTTTATCCGTGTTTTCCTGGCTTTCCATCTAACAGGTGTGAATGATTGGCAATCAGGTGTGTCACTCGCGACTGAGCCAGTTCAGTATGCTAGTTCGTTATGTGACCAAACAGGTCAGCTCTGATCTTTATTGTTTAGAATAGAATAGAATAGAATAGAATAGAATAGAATAGAATAGAATAGAATAACAAAACTGATTGAGGTCCAATTCAACGCAAAAACAATTTAAAAAATATAATAAATTAAAGATAAAAAAAAAAACAACATCCATAAATCCATCCATCCATCCATCCATTTTCTGAACACCCTTGTCCCTCAGTGGGGTCGGGAGGGGTGCTGGTGCCTATCTCCAGCTAACGTTCCGGGCGAGAGGCGGGGTACATCCTGGACAGGTTACATCCATAAATCAATTCATTAATTACATTTGCATTACTTAGTTGTGAAGTTAGTCCAAAACATAAGTCTGTTATGCAGAGATAAAATATTGCTTATATAGCAATTTACGTTTAGGAGGTTAGTGATCTTCTCAGTTCTTTATTATTGAAATGACTGTTCTGTATTAGTTTGTGTAATTGTGAGCTCCAAAGACCTGCACCACTTTCATAAGGACAGCATTTCAGATATTTTTTTTTTCTTGGAAGAGTCATACTTGCAAGTAATAGACTGCACATACACTAAGTCATTTTATTTTAAGCTTTCATTTCTAGTTTTTATATTAAATAATATGGAGGATGATTGTGCCAAAATACCAAGGTTAGTATTTTTCCTTTGCATAGTATTAATAGTCTACTCATAAAGATTTTGACATATTAATTAAAATAATAAAAAGAAGGTATTGCATGAATAATAGGCAGGAATAATTCTCAGAAAGGAGGAGGAAAAAATCAATTCTTGTCAGTGATCGTAGCCGAAAGCTAAGATCCCCAAAAAAGCACCGGAATTCTCATCACCAGGAGCGAACTTTTCGAAAATCTCGCGACAGTCTAGTGTGGTTACCAGGGGAACGCGATCTTAAAAGTTATTTGCTCCATTTGCTCCGTTTCACTTCCAGGAATTAGCGCCAGGACCGTAGCTTTATTTTGGTCTAACTGTATGTAAATGCAGTGTCGCTCATGAAGGAAAAGTAGTGCAATGAGATACCAGGGCGTTTCGCTCGACCGTCCGCTCACAGTGAGGTTTGTATGTTCGGTTAGGTAGCATTAGCATGTCACAGCTATGTAGCTAACTTGAGTCGGAGTTTATTTTCACCAAGTGGCATCATTAATAGACCAATTCTCTAAACTGTGGTTTATAATTTGTACGTTACGGGACCGATTTCATGTGAATCACAGATAGGTTGAAGTGTTGTTGTGTTCAAGACTATTTAAATGATCATTTTGTGAGAGTAGAGATGCAGGTTCATGTTGTACTTTCTCCCTGTGGGCTAATATAGATTGAAAGTCCGCGCTAAAATTCTATATTGTTTGCGAATGTTGGATGTTTACTTCAAACTCAAGGTATATGTGTTCGCCTGTCTCATTCAACACTGAGATTTGAATTCATGCCAATTGTTTTTTTCTGAAAAAGAAATAAAATGTTTTGCTTTGACACTGATGCTACTTTCCTCCCCTACACAGTTTCGTCCTTCAGAGAAATATTAGTCAGCAAGATGCCGTCACCACAAGTTCTCCAACCGGTTCTCAAAGTAAAGGTTGATGAGCTGTTTCTCAACTGGCTGAGTGATCCTGGAACACAGTCGGTCCTCAAGGATTTTCTAGACTTAATTAAAAGTGGCGAGTATAACGGCTTGAGCAGTGGAAACGCACAGGACAAAAAGTCGTTGAGCTTCAACGAGAACAACAATGTAGCATCACAGAAGAACCTTTCCGAGAAAAAGCCCCTGGGTACCAATTCAAGCCCTGCACCCAACAGCACCCTGCCCTCTCGCAGCAGCAGCAATGCACGGGTGACGGGACCCAATGGGAGAGTACTGCGGAGGTCTGTCAGCACGAAGAAGGTAAACTGTCTCTTTAAGCACAAAGTTATAACATGGACACTGCATTATGATGGCTTCAGACACAAGATCCATTGTGTTCTGCCAATCCAGATCTGGTCACAGTAGTAGCAGGTCCAGTAGGGAAGCCCAGGTATTTCTCTCCTCGGCATACATACTTCATCTCATTCCGTGCAATTCCAAGATATTTCCAGGCTGGAATGGAAATGTAGCCCCTCCACTGGGCTCTAGGTCGTCCTCCATATTTTCCCCTCCCCCCAATGTTATGCATGTGGAGAAATTGCATTAAATGACGCCTCCAAGTAACAAAAACAGCATTGATATCTTGGTGAGGAATCGTGTTATTGTTTCTTTGGAATTATTTTTGTTTTGTTTGCAAAAAAAAAAAGAGAGAGAGAGAGAGAGAGCGACATCCCCTACATACTAACTATCCATCAAATTTGTACTGGCCTTCAGATATTTTGTATAAGTTTCAAAGCAGTGATTTAAAGTATTTTTTTTTTACTTGCCATAATCTACTTTTAGCCTTCTGCAAGAAAACATGGCTATGTGACGGCAGTGAATATTTTCTATTGGGGAAAAAGTCACTGAAAGTTTTTTGTTTTTGTTTGTTTAACTGTCATTATTTCCTAATCATATGAGTGCTTTGGCTTATAGCTCAATTACATCGTAGATTTGAGCATTTTCAATCACTGTTTATCAATATGATTAATAAGTAATGCTTACTAAACAGATGGAAAGAAGTGATTTGCAGAGCTTAAATACTTTAATGCAGGATAGCTAATTTATAGGTAATAAATAGATGGAGGTAGGACTTCATGTGGATTAGAAAACGGGGTAATAATTGACCTGAAGGCACAAGTTGAGCTTCCATCAAATGTTGTCCCATTGTTACTTTTAACAATTAAAGACTTTATAATTATCAATTAACAAGTTTTTGTCATATAAAAAAAAAAAGCCTTACGAGTTGAAAATGCAAGAATCTTCAACCAGTAACGTGTTTTATTACAAAATAAAATATCTGTGAAACAAGAGCTGCAGTTAAGTGATCTTCTGATGCAGGACATTCATGTGTCGTATATTTCGTGTCAATAAATTCAAGTGTAAAATGACTAAAACTAAACGGATTAGTTCTGTAGTCGTTATATTTTTTTTGTTGAGTATTTGCAACATTTTAGAATAACATCAGGGTTTTTAATGGTTTTTATCAATTCACAATAATTGTCCAGAATAAAGCGCAGAAGCACTGCTGGGTGCGTTAGTGTCTCCATGTAAACGGTGGAAATAACGGCACTCCTCTTGTTAGCACCTTTAAATCAAATTAATGAAGGTACAGTGAAGCTTCTACCTGAAAACACTGGCTTTCCAGTCCACTAATAACTTGTATCCAAAATGTGAATCTTCACTTTGTGTGGAAAACTTTGTATTAGGGGTCAATTTCATGTTTTCATGGAAGAGGAAGCAACTGATTAGGAAAAATTCTGCATATGTGGATGTGTTTACTGTACTTCCGTGTTGCTGTTTTCTCTTGGATTTTAACTTTCTCTTGCTGGCCACAAGAGGCTGCTGACAACCCCACAGCAGTGATTATATTCCAAACAGAGTCTTCATGTTTGCGGGTCTATGTTGTAGATATTAATCAAATTGTCTAGCCCCTCCCGTAAATGAATGTGGTATGCGGTCAGGGAGTGTTTCACCCAGCCCTACCTGAATCACGAAGGTTGCTCCCTTAGTTTTTGTGTTATTGATCTTATTTCATCACATCTAAGCCTCTGGGACAACTAGTTTTAATTGTGGGGGGGGAAAACAAATCTACCTGCCAAAAGAAAGGTTAAGTCAAAAGAATGTTTGTCAAAGGACTCTCGTCCCAGTGTTGGATTATGAATGACACCGAGACCGTCGGACAGCTGGGTGTACGTGCTTCTCAAGAATACACAACCCACATGATGCCCGACTCGCTAAAGAGGGGCACAAGTGAACATTCGAGTGGTTATTGGTTGCCCATCTGTTTCCTTCCTGCCTGGAACATCAGGGCAGGAGAAGATAGTCTTATTCCCAGAGTTTCTTTGGGGAAGTAAGTCCAGTTTCTCGCTCAGTTTCTTAACTGCTCACACTGACTAGTTTGCATGGAGAACTTGCCGAATGTTTTCTGCTTCCATGTGGGAACGGTTTACGTGGATCCGTACTCTGCCCAATAACCTTTGGCCCCAATACCCGCACCACCACAGATTATTGTAAAGCAGCTGCTGGACAGTTTCTGTGTTCCGCTGCGACGTGTCACGCGTTGCGACCGCTCTGATTCACTTGGTATCAAAAGCGATAATGATGTCGTACGGGTGTGATATTTCTATTTTGAGACAACAAAAATAAATTCCGGCATTCAGATGCATTCTTTAAAGGATTACTCAAAAATTCGATTTATGTCACACTGATGCAGGAGGGGACAGCTGCTCTGACTTTGACATCAGACACTGATAAAGATAGCCTTGGTTCCCTTGTGTTGGCATTAGTTACTCAGAACTCTGGCAGTGAGATGAGGTGTGGCAGCACATTCATCCTCTGCTTAATTTACTTTTATACCGCCTCTATTAGATGCTGCCCATTGTCGGGATATGTGGCCGTAGATTGTTTATTTAAAGTATGTACAGTAAATGCAAGGTCTTTGTGAATGGTTGGCTTTCCTGCCTGCTAGCTCAACCCAGAAAATTATTTGTCTTGTGAGCACTTGGCCATCGACAAAGAACCGATACTTTGTGGACGATATGCAGCGGTTAAAACGACTTTTCTTTGACGTGACGAGGAGAACGCGTTTCTCAACCTCTTTATCTTTTTTTTTTAACTTGCTTAGTGGGGTTAAGCAACATAGCTGCTGTTACAAGCAGGGGCCTCTGAGAACATGTTATCAGTTGCCTGCCTTTCAAAAGGGGGGAGAGATGGTGTCATTCCTCAAAGTGCTTTTGTTTTAGTTGGGGTTGGACGTCAGGAGTGGACAGTTTCAAAGCGTGGTTTCACATCAGATCGGAAAAAGCTTTAGCAATGGGTACTTTTACGTTCTGTGATTTCAGACGGAAAATAGCTGAAAATGATAAAATACACCTGTAGAAACTACACCACATTTACTACGGTGTCTTTTACAGTGGGGCATGAGATTTAAGATTTTGTCTGTGGTGTTCTTTTGCTCCCTTCAGTTCATTTTATCCACCGTTTTTATTAATGTCTGCATGCATGTGCAGGTAAAATGTATCAAATTGCTGGGTAAAAAACATCCTGAAATCAGTTCAGTCATCTGCTGATGTACACCTGTTGTTCCCAAAGATGGGTTCACATTTCTGATGGTAGACTGTCTTGTTGAGCAAGAAAAAAAAAAAGTGCTCAATTTAAATAAAAATAATAATGCTGATAAAGATGCTGCTGCTTCAAACAGCAAAAATGATCTATCCTCTAGATTTATAGAGGAGAGTTTTTTTTCTTCAATAAACTGTATTTACTGGAATAAGTTAATTGAAGGTGAGCAATATGTTGTAAACAAAAAATAATGAATAAAAAAATAAATAAACGGAAGTGGCACCAATGGTTCAGTGTCCTTCCTGTGCTAAAAACTCCTTTCTGGAAAAAAAAAAAAAAAACAACTTGTTACACATGTGCAGACATGCTAGTTGATCTCTGCTGTGCTGGATGTTACTCCCCTGCATCCCTTCATCCAGATTAGATCGTCACCTTCATTAACAATATTCCTCATGGGCAATAGGATCCCTGCTGCAGCTGAATACCCTAAAGTCCTCTAACTTAGGATCTTTTATCCACTTCTTCTACTCTGCAGGCTTGTAGGTGTTTTTTTTTTTTTCAGCTGTGTGACGATGCTATTGCTTTTATTCTTATGCAATATGGCTTGATCTGCTTACATCATAAAGTAGATCCTGGCACCCATGCTGTCAGTCAGTGAGTTCATCATGTTATCAGTAAATCAGGCCTATGTTTGGCACATTTTCACATTACTTTCCTAATCCTTGTCACATATATTGAGCGGCGGCAGCACACTTACTCATGATGTAACCGCGCTTGTAGCTTAAAAGGTTTTGTGCACAACTTGCCCCTCTGGTGCAACTAGGTTACCAATGCTAAGTCTAAAGATATCTGTTCTTAGCGTTAGTGGAGCATCGTGTATGCTGCTTTATCTGGTGTTTGTTTGAGTAATGGTCACTTACTCGAAATGTTTCATTTTAGCTGTTGTGTAAGGAGGTGAATATGACGGGGCACATGTTTGTGTACAAATCAGATTTACTGCCGGAGTTTACAGATTAGAGACGCATGGTGGAGTCACCGGGTTCCTGTGTTTGTTTTCATGTTGTTAAATTGATCCATCAGAGTGGAGACAAAAGCAGCTTGTTGACCCGCTGGCTTGTTGTAGTTCGGATTGATTGCCGAAGGTTTCTCATCTTCATGATTTTTTAAGGGCAAACCCTTAATGTTGATCCCAGAAGCAGGTCAAATTCTAATAGGCATCACATGTTGTTGTGATAGCAGCAGCTCTTGCCTCTTAAAACGTAAATTTAGTTTGTTTCATGTTGTCAGGAACTCGGCAGTAAGGGCAAAAATATTCTCTTTAATTTCTCTATTAAAAAAAAGTTCATACAAACCCATCAAAAAGCAAAAATCTAGAAAAAGAAAATGTTGGCAAACAACTGTTTTAAATCAATATTGCAAAAAAAAAAAAAAAAAAAAAAAAAAAAAAAAGAAAAAAAAAAAAAAAAAAAAAAAAAAAATAAAGAAAAAAAAATAAGTTGGGAGAAAGGGAAACAGCGG